AGCACATTAGCCCACAGTGCCACACCAACCCCCCCCCAAAAAAAACCCAAAACCCACTGCTGTCGAGTCGGTTCCGACCCATAGTGACCCTATAGGACAGAGTAGAACTGCTCCTTAGGGTTTCTGAGACGATAAGTCTTTATAGGAACAAACAGCTCATCTTTCTTCCACCAGCGGCTGGTGGGTTTGAACTGCCAACCTTGCTGTTAGCAGCCCAATGCTTGTCCCATAGAGTCACCAGGATTCCTAGGTAAACTATTATTATTCCCATTTTACAAAAAATATATGTTGGGAGACTAGAACACTGAAGGATGGGGGGGGTCTACAAAAAATGAGAGACCATTGTGATCATATTGCCTTGGTGGTGGTGATGTGCCGTGGAGTCGGTGCCGACTCATAGCGACCCTGTACAGGGTTTCCGAGGCTGTAAGTCTTTACGGGAGCAGAAAGCTTCATCTTTCTCCCACGGAACAGCTGGCAGTTTTGAACTGCTGACCTTAAGATTTGCAGCCCAATTCGTAACCACTACGCTACCAGAGCTCCTTCATATTGCCTTAGAAGGAGCATTTTAAGAATCTGGAGTTCTTACATTTTATTTTCTATCTTGATGAAAACACACTTGACTGTGTCAACAGTGTTGGGAACAAACAGAAGTGACCCATCAGTTTCACGGTTAAGGAATCTAATCAAATGTGCTTAATGCTTAAAATGGGGAGCTCAGCTTTGGATGTGATGAGAATACTGGGTACTCAGGGGGCAGGTCAGCATATCTGATTAGTGAATTGGGGGCTACTATTGATTGATTGAAGAGCCCTTGGCTGCTAACCAAGACAGAATGAGAAAAGGAGGCTGGATGCTGTGCAAAGGGATTAACACTGAAGTGCAGGGGGTCTTGGGGGCATCCTACCCCCTGAAGAATTCTACTCTTCAGGAGAAAGCACGTGGAGATCTGCTCCTAGAAAGGTGTTTGTTGTTGGGTGCTGTTGAGTCAGCTGTGACTCATAGTGACCCTGTGTGGGATCTCTGAGACTGTAAATCTTTTAAGGACCTCATAGCGACCCTGTGTGGGATCTCTGCGGCTATAAATCTTATAAGGAGCTCACGGTGACCCTGTGTGGGATTTCAGAGGCTATAAATCTTATAATGTGGTGCTGTGGGTTAATGCACCAGACTGCAAAGCTGTTTGAACTGCAAGGTCAGTGGTTCAAGCTCACCAGCTGCTCCTCGGAAACCCTATACAGGGTCGCTATGGGTCGGAATCGACTCGAAGGCACTTAACAACAATAACAAGAAATCTTCTAAGGAGCAGTGGTTACAAGTTGGGCTGTGAACCTCAAGGTCAGCAGTTCAAAACTACCAGCTGTTCCATGGGAGAAAGATGAGGCTTTCTGCTCCCGTAAAGATTTACAGCCTCGGAAACCCCATGCGGAGTCGCTATGACTCAGAACTGACTCCACGGCACAGCAGCACCACCATATACTTATACTACAAAGTCCTGGTGTGGCAGTGTAAGATAAGCACTCTCAACCTCAAGGTCGATTTGAACTGAAAGGTTGGGTGTTCAAACTCACCAACTGCTCCTCGGAAACCCTATAAAGGATCGCTATAAGTCAGAACCAACTCTACAGCACATACCAATAACAACAACAAAAAAGTCTTTATGGAAACAGAAAGCCTCATCTTTCTCCCGAGGAATGGCTGGTGGATTTGAACTGCTGACCAACCTGTCACCCAGTAAAACAGCAGGGCTCCTCCTCCTAGGAGCCCTGTGGGACAGTTCTACTTTGTCCTGTGGGGTCACTGTGCATTGGAATCAGCTCAACAACACACAACATTTATTGATGAGCGCTTACTGTGTGTCAGGTACTCTAAGTGCTCCACTTGCCTTATGTCTTAACAAACCCACAAGCTGAGTAGTAACCATGAACCATGTGACTTTCTTTGGTAAATTTCTCAGTGTTCCCGTTTTCTCAGCTGTAAATTGGGCATGTTAATGCTACTAGCTCCTGGGGTTGTACTCACAAGCAGATGAGTGACTACATTACATATTAAACTCATATTTAGCAAAGCTCTGGCAGGTAGCAGGCATATCATAGTGTGGGTTGTTGTTATCATTCCCATGTACTGATTAAGGAAACTGAGACACAGAGAGGTTAAATAAGATATGCAGAAAGTTATAGGGCCAGATGAAGGAAACTTACGGGGTAATTTTGTTGTTAAGTGCCAACAAGTCCGTTCTGACTCATAGTGACCCTGTATAGAATTTACGAGGAGCAGCTGGTGGATTTGAATTGTTGACATTGTGATTAGCAGTCCAGTGCTTATCCAACAGTGCCACACCAGGGTTCTATATGAGGGAAATTAAAAAACATTGGTGGAAAAATGGAATTAAAAGATAATGGAATTTTTCTACGAACTTTTTGAAATCCCTTCACATCTTGATCTAGGTAAAGTTTGTACCAATGTATAAAAATGTGTCCCGCTGTACAAGAGTCTGTTGAACATGTTACTGCATATAAGTTATGTTGTTAAGTGCTGTCAAGTTGGTTCCAACTCATAGCCACCCTAGGGTATCTGAGGAGCGGCTGGTGGGTTTGAACTGCCGATCTTGCAGTTCAAACTGACCTTACTATCCCGTGCTCATCCCGCAGCACCACTCCAGGATTCCACGTAAACCATGTTGTTGTTGTAAGCTATGACCTCCGGGAAAAAATACGGCTTCTGAGTGAACTCTGACTGGTAGCAACCAGCAGGACGGCTCCTTAGGGTTTCTGAGACTGTAAATCTTTATGGAAACTGACAGCCTCTCTTTCTCCTACCTAGTGGCTGGTGGGTTTGAACTGCTGTTTGACCTGTTGTTAGTCTAACACTTAACCCACAGAGTCACCAGAGTTCCAATGTAAACTATACCTCAACTGAAAAACAAGACAAGTTACATGGATTTTTAAAAATTGTTTTATTGTGAATTATGTGATAGTTTACATGGGAGAACATTAGTTTTACATTCATCCTATTGTTTATCTATCGTTTATTGTTTCATTGCCATGGTTACAATCCCTCCATGCATCATCAACCAACCAAAGGGTATACCCTGCAAGCCTGCCCCTGGTCATCAGCACGCAGCCCCTCTCTGAGTTCCCAGCTGCTCCATCTCTCTACGTCATCGACTGAGCTGGGATTTTAACCTGAGCTGCCAAAAAGTCTTGGTCCAGTCTCTGGAGCTAGTGTTCTGGGTTCAAATGCTATCCCCCTTTATTTACTACACCTTATTCATGGGTCCCACCTGCAACGTGTGGAGATGAGTGAGCCACAGACTCACCAAGGTACCTGGCACATGGTAAACGATCTAAGGTGTTGGTTCCAAACGCTGTGGGCCATGTGGGTTACAGAGGCACTCGGGGTCTTGCATGGCTTCTGAACCACCGTACCCCATCCCCTCGCCCCCAGGGCCTGCGGCGGGAGATTCAGGCTCACGGGCCGCGCCTGGAGGAGGTGCTGGAGCGCGCGGGCATGCTGGCGTCGCTGCGCAGCCCAGAGGCGGAGGCCGTGCGCGGCGGCCTGGAGCAGCTGCGGGGCGCCTGGGCCAGCCTGCGGGAGGCGGCCGAGAGGCGGCAGCAAACGCTGGACGCCGCCTTCCAGGTGGAGCAGTACTACTTTGACATGGCCGAGGTGGAGGCGTGGCTGGGCGAGCAGGAACTGCTTCTGATGAGTGAGGACAAGGGCAAGGTGCGGCCCTGGCTCGGGGCTTGGGGGGCCTGGGAGCGCCGGGGCCCGCCGCTGTTGCCTCATTGCTGGCGTCGTGTGCCCCCAGGACGAACAGAGCACGCTGCAGCTGCTGAAGAAACACCTGCAGGTGGAGCAGGGCGTGGAGAACTACGAGGAAAGCATCGCGCAGCTGTCGCGTCAGTGCCGAGCGCTGCTGGAGATGGGGCACCCGGACAGGTGGGCGGGACCTGGAGGGCGCTGGAGTCTCGCTGTTGGAAACCCGGCAGGACCACTAAAATCCTCAGCTTTGGGCAGGCGCGGACCAGATCAGAATGGGAGTGGGGAACACTGCCCAGGGATGCTTGAGAGAGTGGGGCCAGGAGCTCTGGGATTTTAGTACAGGGTTGGGACTCCATTGAAGGAGGGGAGGGTCGATGTCTAGGACCGAGTTCAGTACTGAGAAGGGTCTTCTTGCTTCCGGTTGTCTGGAAAGAGAGAGAAACCTGGTCCCCTGAGATTGAGTATAGGGCCTAGGGCATCCCACCTGTCGTCAGAGTAAGGGGGTTCCTAGAAGCCCTGGGAAACCAGGAGTGGGATCTGAGGGGGGGGTGGACACAGGGCAGACCTCGGTCACACTCCGTCCAGGAGGAGGAGTGGATCTGAAGGAAACCAAGACCTCCATGCAGGCCACTGGAGCTAAGAGGTGCTGGAGTGCAGACGGAAACAGGATATGGCCTAGGAGAGGGAGATGGAGTCTGAGACTCTCAGTTTATCGATTTAGAGGAGCCCACTTTCCCGGGTGCTGAGCTGACTGAATGTAAGCCTTGGAGAGCAGAAGCTTACAGAAAAGAGAAATTTGACCAAAAGGTTCAAAGGAAAATAGTGCTGTCCTGCAGGGATGGAAGGACATGTTGCCCTGGGGATGGAGGTGGGGGTTGGGAGGGCGGGCGTATTGGAAGTCTCTGCCCTGCCTTGGAAGTCTCAGGGCTCCATTGGGTCCATGTCCTCCTCAGCGAGCAGATCAGCCGGCGTCAGTCTCAGGTGGACCGTCTGTATGTGGTGCTCAAGGAGCTGGGTGAGGAGCGCAGGGTAGGTCTGGAGCAGCAATACTGGCTCTACCAGCTGAGCCGTCAGGTGGACGAGCTGGAACACTGGATCGCTGAGAAGGAGGTGGTGGCCGGCTCCCCTGAGCTTGGCCAGGACTTCGAGCACGTCACGGTGAGCACCCTCAGTAACCAGAATGCCTGTGGCCTCAGTTCCCCCATCTGTAATATGAGGCTAATACTAGCACTACAAGTGAAGTAGTATTCTAAGGCGCTCTGGTAGCGTAGTGCTTACGAATCGGGTTGTGAACTACAAGGTCAGCAGTTCGAAACTACCAGCTGTTCTGTGGGAGAAAGATGAGGCTTTCTGCTCCTGTAAAGATTTACAGTCGCGGAAACCCTGTACAGGGGTCACTATGAGTCAGAACCGACTCCACGGCATATCGCAACAAAAACAATGTCAAGCATAAAGAGCAAGTCGGGCTGTGAACCTTAAGGTCAGCAGTTTGAAACTACCAGGCATTCTGCGGGAGAAAGATGAGACTTTCTGCTCCCATAAAGATTTACAGCCTTGGAAACCCTGTACAGGGTCTCTATGGGTCGGAACCGACTCCACGGCACATAACCACCAATCACCACCACCAATGTCAACCATGGAGTTCTGGGGTGGCACTGTTGGGTAACCACAAAGTTGGTGGTTCAAACCCACCAGCAGCCCCTCAGAAAACCTATATGGGTTTGCTATGAATTGGAACTGGCTCAATGGCGCTTAACAAAAACAACATGCTAACCAAAGGGTTGGCGGTTCATGCCCAGCAGTCACTCCTCGGAAACCCTATACTCCTAGTGTCACTATGAGTCAGAACCAACTCAAAGGCACTTAACAACAACAGCTAACCTAAAGATTGGTGATTTGAACCAACCTAGCAGTACCACAGAAGAAAAGCCTCACCATCTGCTTCTGTAAAGTTTACAACCACGAAAACCCTATGGAAGAATTCTACTGTGTAACACATGGGGCCTCCATGAGTCGGTAGCAGCTCCATGCCACAAGTATCAATTGTGTGTGTGTATGTTTTTATTATTTAAGACAATTCTTGGGAGTCTTGGTGTGGCACTGTTGGATAAGTACTGGACTGCTAACCGCAAGATCAGTGGTTCAAACCC